GCTCCCATCTGAGGGCAGCAGAAGGAGAAAAAAAAAATCAACAACAAACAACAAAAAAAAAACCAAAAACAGAAAGAAGGTGGGATCCACAGAGGACGGGAGGATGGTTCAGTGGCCAGAAAGTGGGGTCTGCACTATGGAGCACAGTCTCTCATGAAAACCCCTTTCCTCAATCCTAAGGGGTCACAGATTTTGTGATCTGGGGGCTGGTCTGGGGAAAATAGAGAAAGAATTTTTAATTTTTCCCCTTTAGGGGTTGTGACAGGGAATTCTGCTTCAAGATCTTTGGTTTTTTTTTTCCCTCCTCAGCCTAGGGAACTTGGCCCCCATTCTTAACAGTGAGGCTTCCTGTACAGCTCAGGAGAATTAGGATTAGCAGCCTCCCTCCCTCTGGACATCAGATGTGCCCCTCCCTCTGAGGAAAGACCAGAAAGGTCCCTGAGGCAAAGTCACTTTAGAGTGAGAGCCACAACCACTGATGAGTCATATAGGAAGACTGAGGCCAGAGAAGGTGCCAGACTTAGACCAGGAGCACAGACTACAGGAGAGAGGGTGGCACCACGGGTCCGGTGACCCAGGCTCCGGGGACCAATGCCCAGACCCTCTATTCGGTCCTTGTGGAGTCCAGGTAGGGTTCTCAGCCAGGGTGAGAACTTCTCCCTCTGGCCTAGAGGTCATGCCTCTGCCTGGCAGAGGAGAAGGCTTCAGTTACATAGGCTGGGCATCCCAGGGGCTGCACAAATGGTGCCCACTGTGGTATGTGCCCATGTCAGAAACACAGACAAGCAGGCTGGTGACTTCCCACAAGGCCAGAATTTACCTATTAACAATTTTCTAGGCAACCCTACTTGACTTGATGGCCTTGGCTGAGGCAAACACATACTCTTTTAATCTAATTTTAATTACTTATGTTAATTTCCAGCTTGCATCTTATACATTAATAATAATAGTTAATATATTTATCTTCTATCAACCAATTGATCATCTAGCCATCATTTATCTATTTATATAATTATATATATATACATACATACATACATATACATCTTTATGTAAGTTGTGTGACAGCTACAGAGGTTGAAGAGACATGGGGCCTCAAGAGGCCTCAAGGAGCCTCAAGGGTTTCAAGAGGCCTGGGAAGCCAAAGCTGGGAAACAGACAGGGGTGTGAGCATCTCTGTCTTGATAAGATAATGGACAAACGGACCTGTGAAGCTGGAGAGGCCGCAGGTGGCTGGCCATGGTCAGGCTGCAGAGTCAGAGCTGAGCTGCAAGGGTGAGGCCAGGTGAACGAATGGGTGGGTCAATGAGGGGCAGGACCCTGAGGGTAAATGGTGGCCAGGCAGGTGACGATCGGTGTGTGTAGCTGGCCGAGATGGACTGGACCCCCTGGGATAACCAGGAGCCTGGCAACTCCTAACATAGTTGGGCTGGGCAGATCAGAGGTCTGTTGGGGCATCTCCATCTCAGGGCTGAGTGTCTACTTATTTGTAGAGTTCGGGTGAGGGAGTTACATCTCCTTGGTTTGAGGTATGTGATGGGTTCTTAAATCTTGCTTCATCCTCATGGCTCGAGGTACCAACTTGGCCAGGGGTGGCAGGAGAACGAAGAAAAGGCGAACACATGGGCACACAGAAAAGCTGGGATTGGTTGGAATGGAATCTCTGATGGAGAAACCGCAGCAGCCCGGAAGCTCAGCGTGTTTATTGTATAGAATCGTGCAGACAGGAGGCAGGGTTATTGCAGACAGCTGAACAAGGGGGAAGGGTTTATGGCGTACAGCTGGATGGAGGAGGCAGGTTTAGATCAGCTCAGGAGCAGTCTTTGGATCTTGTTGGTCCCCTGGGTCTCCACCTCAGAGTGGTCTCTGTAGGGAAGTGGTCTTCAGGCCGTAAACACACAGGGGGAGAAAGCCATGGTGGCCATTTTCTGTACACACTGTCAACAGTCACAGGTGAACTCCAGAGGAATGCTTTGCTGTCCCTTTGAGTCTCACCCAGAGGAGGCTTGGCCAATCCCGTGGAGATGGAGTGTTGAAGTCCTTGCCATGGCCACGTGGCCCCGCTCGTGTAAACATGTAGTCACTCAGGACTTCATCCACCCCACAGGGTCTGGGATGGTTTTAAAATATGACATAATTTTTAAAAAATGTATATACCCTTTCTGTTTCAGTTCACCTGGAGAAACAAATAGGGTCCAGCCCTTTCCGCTCTCAGAATAAGTCACTTATCAATCTGTGCCACGTGGGTGATATGAGGCAGATGGTGGTATTCTCATGCCTACCCGAGTGCAAAGTCATTCTCCATTTTCAAAACCGGGGGGGGGGGGGCGGGAGCTGCTTATAGAATGGAACACAATGCCCAGCCTGAAACCCACTGTTCTGCCCAGTATGGAGTAAGTTAGAGCAGGGCGTGGCCTCTCTAGAATGGGGATGGTGACCGGCCGCGTTGGCACTATCAGTGGTGGAAATGCTGATACTGATGCTGGCATTAGTGTTAGGGCTGTGTGCTGCCTGATATTGGCGTCGGTTGTGTGGGTTTTGATGGTGATGTTATTTTTCCTAATTTGCTTTCCTGTTGCTGGGACCAAACGCAACCGAGGGAGGAAGGGTTCGTTTCATCCCATCCTTCCAGGTCATGGCTCATCACTGAGAGAAGTCAGACCAGGAACCCCAGGCAGAAACCTGCAACAGAAACTACCAAGGAATACTGCCTGTTCCCAGATACCTTTTTTAGACAGCCCAGGCTCACCAGCCTAGGGATGGACCCTCGCACATCAATTAGCAATCAAGAAAATGACCCACAGACACGCCCACAGGCCAGTCTGATGGAAACAAATCCTCAGTTGAGGGTTCCTCTTCCTAGGTGTGTCAGGCTGACAACTGAGACTAGCTATCTGTTGTCCTGCGGGACAGTCCCCTGCATGGGACCCAGAACCTCTACTCTAGATGAGGTCCAGGTTATTTTCTGAAGAGTTTTTGGGAACCAGAGAAGCCATACCCACATCAGGAGGTGCTGTGAGCCAGTGTCACAGGCACCTGCTGGAGCTTGACCCCCCAGTCAGGCTGAGGACAACGAATGCCCAGCGTCCTGGGTTCTCAATTTCCTGTTGGACAAAATGAACAGGGAACCCTTCTCATTCCTAAGCTGCTTGGGGGCTGACTCAGCCCTGGCAGGAATTAGAGTCACCATGGGAAAAACTGGGCCTGTCCATGAGGGAGTTTTTGTGTTAATTGAAAGAGGAGGACCTGCCCTGAATGTGGGGGCATCATTCCCTGGGCTAGGGTCTCAGACTGAACAAAAAGAACAAGGTGCGCTGAGCACCAGCATCCTTGTCTCTCTGCTCCCTGACTGTGATGCCCTGTGATTCCTGCCTCCCTGTGATGGCCCCGATCCACAAATTGCGAGTCAAAGTACATCCTCCCTTCCCTAAGCTACTTTTGCCGCACCCTGCGGCCCTGGTCTGCACTCTAAGCACTAGACCTCAGTTTGTGCGCCTCGGGAAAGGGGCTGGAGGTTGAGAATACTCACGCAGAGACAGACCAACACACAGACTTTCAATCACTGGTACCAAAAGGCCCCCTTTATTAACACCATGTAGGCTTAAATACTCTGTTGTCAATGGCCAACAGGTGATAATCCCATCCTCTGATCCTCTAAACTTGGCACAGTTTCTAGTAACTTTAATTAGAAGGTTCTAGGAGGGAAAAGCAGCTGTTGGCCAGAACTCATTAGTACCAACATCCAGCTGAAGTCCAGGACTCATTAATCCCAACAACTTTAGTTAGGTCTTTAGTGATATCAACTTATAAACCAGCTAGCAGAGGCGATGATCACGATGAGAACTTTGGAGGCTTTATGTCATCTCTGACACACCAGGCACACACACACACACACACACACACACACACACACACACACACACACAACTACAGATACATACTCATACATAGCATACTTGTAGACGCATACATGATTCATACACACACATGCATACATACACCCATAGGCAAACGCAGCACATACACACTCACATACAGATATACACTTATATACACACTCATAGGCATATAACAATGCAGCACAGCACTCATAAACACACAGAAAACACACACACACACACACACACACACACACACACAAAGTGCACAAAAAACCAAATATCAAACAAATCCTACATTCTCCTCTGTCTTCCTCAGTGCCAGTCTTCAGCCAGTGGTCTCCCTAGGCTTCTGTCCACCCCCTGGGGCCCACACTACCCTGATAAGGAAGGGAGGCGCACATGGAGCCATTTCACTGTTGCAAATCTTCCCTCTTTATTGACCCAACAGGAGATAAGCCGGGACAGCAGAGGGGCCTGGACTGCCTTGGGAAAGGGACCGTCCCAACCTCACAGGATCGCTTGTGGAAGAGTGGATTGCTAGGTAGTCAGAGCCCCACAGACCAAGACCATGCAGGGCTCTTCAGCCATCTCCTGTTTTACATCAGATGCCTTCTGGAAGCTTCTCTATACTAAGGAGGCCACAATGCTGTGGCTCATTTGCAAGATGTCTGGGCTTCCAGAGAAGAAAGGGCCGGAGCCATAACCTTCCAAAGGAAGCCAACGTTGCTGGAAGCCCAGACTTCCCTCAAAGCTCCTCAGAGCCCAGTGCAGGGATGCCACAGCTGGAAAGAGCTCAGAGTTGTCTCAAGGGCTGGCATTTATGACATTTTCATTTTGTGGCTGGCTCTGAGCTAAGAATGTGGGGTGCCTCTCCCCACCACATTTCCATTTCCGGACAAGGAAACTGAGGCACACAAACCAAAGTATTGCTCCCAGACCCTGTGACCTGGGATTGTCAGCCTCTAGAGCATGCTTTTTTAAAAGAAAATTATATTGCATTTATTTGTGTGTACATGTACCATGGTGTGAGTGTGTGTGTGTGTGTGCATGTATGTATGTGTGCATGTATTTGTGGAGGGCAGAGGTAGTCAGTTCTCATTCTACCATGTGAGTTCCAGGGGTCAAACCCAGGTCACCAGGTTTGATGCTGAATGCCTCTATTCACTGAACCCTCTGCCCTGGTCTTCACAGCTCCTTCATCCATATCTCATTCACAGGGATACTCTGGGCAGAGAGAAGTCTCACACCCTATGTTGGGCACCTGTGTATATTTTTTTTCTGGGATCCTAAGCATGTAGAGAGATCCACTCTCACTAAAGGTGTGCCTTCTGTACCCCCAGTCTTCAGAGGGGAATGGGTTGCCATGGTTACCCAGTAAGCTGGGGGTGTGGCCTCCAACCTCCAGAGGAAATCCAGCTCTTTCCATCGCCATCTAGTGAGTCGAGATGCCCCAAGATTATTCTTCCGGAACCTTCTGCTCTGTGTGATACGTGGAGAGGAGTCCAAACTTTTCTGTGTGGAAGAATCAAGAAACAAACACACCTGTGCGTCCCTTATCAGCATCCAGATTAGCGTGGGACCCTGGAGTCTCGGGCCTCTCCCGATCAGAGCCCCTACGTCCCCCAAAGCTGGAGCTCTCCTAGCCTTCGAGGGTCTGTTGGGGGCTATGTGAATGGTATCACAAGGTCTACAGCGCTCAGGCACCACCGTTGGGTGGACGGGCCCATCTCCATTACTATAGGCTGTGTCCCTTGTTTCCTAAGGGTCACTGGCAGCATTTCTTACCCGGGGCCACATGCCTAGGGTGTATTTTACATTCTTGGGTACATACATGTTGGCCATCTTCCTGTTGTGTATATCTCTGGGGGGGGGACACTTCTTGATTGCCCAGCAGCCATCATGTCCGCCTTAAGCAGATGCAGTCAAACCTAATCAAACCTAGAGAAGTCTGCACTCCCAAGATCGCTTGCTTGCACATCCTTGCCAAGTGTTAATTTTAGCCCACCTGGTGGGCGAAGGCATGCGCACATGGTAAAACATTCAGCTCTTTCACCTTCCCCATCCTGAAAGAGGATTTTTTTTTTTATCACTTTCGTTTCCTGTCCCCATGACACACGCAAAGCCAGAGTCTGGATATAGATGATGCTGTTGGCCTAGTGCCTTAGAGGAAGGAGACCTGAGAGCAGGGTCCTGTCCTTTGTGAATGTCTGTGGGAGTGTCTCAGGAAACTGCCTCTTCTCTTTGATTCAGACTGATACTGCATTGGGTGGGCACTGAGAATGGGCCCCGAACGACTGTGATGAGTCTGGCTTGTGTGGGAGGTAGTCTCCCTAATGGAGCTGTCCTGAGCATCCTTGGCTGTTTGGTTTTAGAGAAGCCTTGAATAGCTGTCCTAACTGTTCCGGGGTCTGTATTGACTGAGTCTTTAAGACAGCCCTGGGCTGCTGGGAGAGAGTGGAAACTTAGGGGAGACTTATGACTGGTGCCTGATACTTGTCCGGCCGGGATTTGATGAGAAGTCGACCCTTCCCATGAGCCCTACCAGCTGAGTCCATTAAGAACAGAACATGGCTTGCTCAGGCCCAGCCCTCTCCCTGGGTGGCCTGGGAATCCTGGTGTGCAGACCCTCCCCCAGGCCACCCACATCTGGGGTTTTGTGGGGGAAGGATGCAGCAGGCTCAGCTGCCTGGGGATGGGGTGTTTGTCACAGTGTCTCTGAGATGGAAGTGGGGTGCCCACCCTTCAGGCCCAAAACTCTCTGCAGCATCAGAAAGGTAACCTTCTATTATAGGGGGAGATGTCCCTGGCTCACCAAGTGTATCTTTAAGACCAGATAAACTTGCTCAAAGATGAAGGTTCTAATTCTTCTAGGAATCCTGAGAACTCACCTTCTTAGACCTGGGGAGTGGGAAGGTGTTTGCCCGGTTAGAGCTGGGGACCAGGACAGAGTGTGCAAAGGTCCAGGATTCCTGAGGGTCTCATTCTGTAGAGTCTGTGGGCAGGAAGAGGTTGGTCTGTGCACTTGGTGCCTGGGACACCACAGCCACAAGTGGGTGCTGCTGCCGTTCACCTGCTCTGGCTAATGCTTCTCAGTGTCAGGACAGCACCTTAAACACAGACTTTGTTAGCTTACCTTATTGGGCTGTTGAAGAAAAACAAGCTACCTTTTGTTCTGTGCATGTGCCTACGTGTGTGTGCGTGTGTGTGTGTGTGTGTGTGTGTGTGTGTGTGTGTGTGTACAGCATGAGTACCTGTGCACATGCTATGCGGGCTGGAAACCACGTCCTGAGCTGTTTCTCCGGCACATCCTCCTTGTGTACTGAGACAGCGCCTCTGCTCTCAAGCTCATCAATTGGATTCAGTTGGCCAAGGAGCCTAGTGCACCACTGTTCCCACCTCCCCAGTCCTGGCATCACAAGCATGCACCACACCTGGCTTTCTCACCTTGATTTCAGGGATCCGCTCTTTTCCTCTAGTCATCCTTTACTGCCTGGCATTCCCTCTGGCCCACGGGATGTCTCCTGATCTTCTTCTGTGTCCTGTCAGACATAGGTTGCAGTGAGGAGCCTGGGACAGGGGTATGGCTACCAGTGCCCTCACCTCTGCTGCTGCCACCCCTCTAGTTTGCTACCTTGAGGGACCCGGCTCTTTTCTTCCTTTATAGTTGTTCACTTCTTTGGACATCTGGGTTGCCCCACCTTTCCCCTCAGGTCTCCCAAGATCACTTGCACACACACACACATACACACACACACACACACACACTCTACATACATGCACATACATCAACACACCTATATATGCACATACATATGCACTCGCATACATTCTAGACCCATAAATGCACACACAATCTACATATGCACACGTGTGTGCATACACACAATCTGTACACACACATCACACACATGTACAATCTGTTTTCAGAAGTTACAAGCAACACCAGATCGTACGTAAGTCACAGATCCCATCAGCCCGCATAAACATAGCACACGAAGTCTGTTTGTTCTGGTCTCATAGGAGAACAGGAAATATTGCTTAGGTGACGTTCATATTACAAAAATTTGCAGTCCTGGCTACTTGGTAGACTGAGGCAGGAAGATGGCAAGCTCAAGGCCAGTCTGGGCAACTTAGTGAGAGCAAGTCTCAAAGTAAAGAGAATAAAGGGGCCAGGAATGTGGCTCAGAGACAGAGCACCGGCCTGGTGAGCCCTTCAGGGCCCAGAGGTAAACCGCTCACTCATTTACACTGCAGAAAAGAAAGGAGCTGATGTATAGGGTGACACCAGGGGAATGTGGGCGACACCAGAGAGAAAGAGTGGCCTCTTTCTGGAAAATACTACTCTCAATTTGGCACAGAGCCAGAAATATTTCAGGTAACTTAATTTTTAATTTTTATTTTCTTATTTTTCCTCCCAGTACTCGCTCCCTCTCTCCATTTTCCCCCAATCTGATCCCTCCTGTTCCCATCCCCAACCCCCACAACCCTGCCACCCAACAGCAATGCCTATTCTACTTCCCTTCACAGTGAGATTCATGAGCCCACCCCCTCCCCACCTTGAAATTCAGGTAACTTTAAAAACGGCCATCCTTGAATGACCCTTGGGAACTGGAGAGATGGCTCAACAATTAAGAGCCATAGCCATGCTTGTGGGTTCGGTTGACCTGGGTTCAATTTCCAGAACCAGCATGGCAGCTCACAAAGGTCTATAATTCTCTAGTTCCAGTTCTGACCTCCATGGGAACCAGGCACACATGTACAGACACACGTGCAGGCAAAATACCCGTACCCATTAAATAAAATAATTTCTAAGTCACTGGGCATTTATTTGCCCACAAAGACACTTTATTCTACTTGGGCAAAAGAGTTCTAATTGTGTCACAATGTGAGAGCCATCCAGCCTGGGCGCAGAGAGTGCCCCAACCCAGTCTGCCACCTTGTCTCTCCATGTCTGTGCCTCAGAGAGAAATGGACACACAGATTGAAAATCTGTTTTCTGACTGAAAGCTGCCCTAACACCAAATGATCTGCACCAATTCTCGGCAGCTTCGGTTCCTCTGGAGGATGCCCCGGAAAAGGCTGGAAAGGCCCTTCTCTGAGGATGCAGCCCTCTCCAGCTCCCACAAATCCTGACATTCCTTTGTTTAAAACAAAGCAAAACAAACTTGTGGTTTTTCTCAAAATGACAAACCAACACACAGAATCTGAGACTCCCCAAGCAGGGCCCAGCCATAAACCTTCCTGACCCAAAGAACAGATTTTATGGAGACCCCAGTAAAACCCGGGGCAGCCATAAATAAATCCCAGCCTGCCCTTGCCCACAGCCTGTGCCTTGAGACTCGAACCTCTGGAGGCAGAGGGCAGCAGAGGATAGCCCAGCACCCACAGTTCTGGGTCCTCTAACCAAAGTGATTCCGGAAAAAGCCAGTGGACAGAAGCTAAGGGCAGAGGTGGGGGGCCACACAGGTCCACCTCTCCTGGGAATTTAGATTAAGAAGGGAAGGCACGGAACACTCTTAGCTGGCAGATGACAGCCATGCACAGAACGACATATCCCAAGGCTTACCCCAGTTCTGCCACACCTGCTGGCTATGACACCGGTGCCACTTCACCTAATCAAACTTCACATTCTCTGTCAAGGTATGGTGTGACTTCTCCCTTCTAGTTCTCTCCGGGACTTTGTGTGGAGATCAGATGAAAACGGGCCAGCCAAGATGGTTCAATGTGTAAGAAAGAGTCTTTGCTGTCAAATCCAACAACCTCCACTGAATCTCTAGGATCCGCATGGAGGAAAGACAGATCTGACCCCTCACAGTTATTCTCCGTCTTATATGTGTGCCATGGCACATGAGTGTTCCTGCCCCCCTTCCTGATAAATGAGTAAGTCTAATTTTAAAAGGAAAAAAAATAGAAAATACTTCATTGGATATTTAAACGAGAGCATGCATAACTACAGACAGGAATGGAAGTCATTATCCCCTTTACGGGCCACCCAGCCTCATCTGTCCCCTCTTGAGTACCCAGGAACTCTATGTCCCAGAATGCATCAGGGGCAGAAGCTGCTACTACACACAGAGCACCTATTCCATGCCTGCCAGGCAGGGGCTTCTCTCTGGCAGGCAGCAGCTTCCTCTGCAGGTGGTCCTGATGTCACCTCTTCCAGAAATCCCCCGGCAAACAATGATTCATCTGAAAGAGACTAGATCCCCGGCACAGGAGCACATGCGGTACCTATAAATTTAAAACCTCTTTACACACACACTCACGAACACACACATACACATACATACACACATGCACATACACACTACCTGCACACCCTCACACACGTACACACTTGCATACATGCACACCCACGAGTACCTGCACACACAATTTTAGAAAACAGAGCTGGGCCTGGATCATGGCTCGTAATGTCCTGACTGAGTTTCTCACTCCTTTTCACCCGTTCTCTGGACATGCCACTCTGCCCCTGCAGAACAATTCACCTGAGTAGCCTGCTTTCCTCCTTTCCTAGGCCCTAGGGTGCCCAGACCCCTGAGAGGCACATGCCTTGGGTCTTAGCATGAAGATTCATGTCTAATGGTGTAATTTCCAGGGAGCCAAGCCCACAGACACACAGAGTCCACGGTCCTGCCAGTTGCCTGACTGCCATCCCAACCCATGGGATGCTCTGGCTGCGTGCTTGGCAGGCAGCCTGCTGGGTAGTCACTGGCACCAACCCTACAGGACACCAGTCCCTCCATCACTCCGAGGTTGCAGGCAGCCGGGTCTGGAGAAAAGCAGGAGGAGGTGCAAGAACTATCTCAGTGACAATTATCTTGTCACTGTCAGAGCCACAGACTTACAAGAATGCCCCTGTTTATGGAGCAGAGCTGGCTGTGGGGAGAATCCCGAGGAACCTTCTGGACACATGCTTAAAGCCCAGCCACAGAAAAATCTGTCCAGTGCCCAGTACTAGCCAAAATGAAAGAGCCGGAGGCTCCATCTACTGAGTTCTGCCCTGGGCTCATCTTCCCTGTTGAAGAAGAAAGAGAAATGGGGTTGAGGAAGACCGGGAGAGGTGAGACAGTTACAGTACCCCAGATGGCCTTAGCTGCCCTCACCTACTGGTGTGTTTTAGAACAATCCACAAACCTTAGTTGGGAACTTGCTGCATGGCCAGAAAAAAACCTGAGCATCCGGGCAAACAGGACAAAGACCCTTATCTCATGAAAGTCACAGCCTGGCTAGGGCTGTGGGACAGAAACCAAACCAATAACCAAGCAAAGTCACAGAGTATGGTGGGGCACACAAGTCAGCCCAGGGTTTGGAAGGTAGAGGCAGGATGATCAGGAGTTCTAAGTTATCCTTGGCTACGTGATGAGTTTTAGGTCAGTCTGGGCTACATGAGACCCTGTCTCAGAAAACAAAAAGAAAACTTACTCTTTCTACTTGCTTTCAAAGGGTTGGAAGATGCCAGGTGTTCAGCAGACACAACTCTCTATGGCTGCTGCATGGGTGAGGCAAGCAGGAGCCGAAGGCTTTGAGCCCTGAGAGTGACAGGACACCCTGGGTCCCTTTCTGTCAACTACTCTTGGCACTATGCCTGCCCAAAATCTCGGCTGACAGTCTTCTAAAGGCTCCTCAGCTGTGGGGTGCCACAGGAAGAAAGGGGTACCCACATACAAATAGCACCAAAGTTGTAAGGTGTTTCCAGTGCAACTTTCACCAACTCTGACTGCATCTGTGAAATGGTATTCAAGGTTTTGGCAACAGGGAGAGAAATGTGGGGGTATCTAGGTGGAGCAGGAGGGGAGGGGTGTGGGGCTGGACTTGAACAAAGAACATTGCATATGTGTATAGATAGACTTCTCAAAGAAGGAGTGAAAACATTTTAGCTACACTTGACTGTCCCTCCATAGAGTTCAGGTGCAAGAACCAGAATCTTCTAGAACCTTCTAGAAGCCAATGGGCCAGGTATTTGCACCTTTAGGGAGCTTGACCATGTTTTCTTCCTTTTTACCTAAATAGTTTAGCAGTCTGGAAGGAGCCTAAGTGTTGATAAATAATATTTTCAGAGTAAAGCAAAAAATTTCAGAAGAAAACAGAGGCAGTGGTTGCAGGCTGCTGTGTACAGATGGTGCCACTGGGCTGCACACAGAGCATGCCCAGTATAGGAGCTTTATGATGCATATCCGTGGCCATACTTTTTAAAATTAGTGCTATATTAATATACTAAAAACCAAATTTCACCCTTTAAATGAGTGACAGTTCAATATCTTAATTCATATCTCCCTAGGTTTTCTTTTTCTTTTTTTAAAGTATGGGTGACTGTAGAAGCCCGAGGACAGCCTGGGGTGTTTTCCTCACATACCATCCTCCATCCATCTCCATCTCTCAACTTCAGACACCGTCTACCTTTCTCTTGAGACTGGCCTGTAACTCATCAAGTAGCCTAGGCTAACTGGTTAGAGAGCCCCATCCAGGGATCCTCCTGTCTCTGTCTCCCCCATGCTGGGATTACAAGTAAGTAACACACACACACACACACACACACACACACACACACACACTCAGAGACTGTCAAGATAAGCCTGCGACTGGTTGATTCAGAACTTCAGCACAGCAACACACAAGAGGCTCTAAAAGTGAGCTAAGTCCAGGTCACTCGAGACCCAGAAGCCCGGCACTTCCTCACCTCTCCATATACAAGCGGATGTCACTGAATGATGTTGATCCTGGGGCTTCCCTGTGCATCTGAGATGGCAAGATCCTCACCACAGAGACAAACAACCTCTCAGCTCAACCATTGTTCACATCCTCAAGAGCTGTGGGCTCAACGGACTCCTCCATGCCATGGGACCTGGATCCCAACAAAAGCGTATTGTGCAGAACCCAGACCGTGTGCCGGTTGGATCAGCATCGACACCAAGGGGGAAATGGAGACAAGAAATGCACTGGGGTCAGTTTTGGAGCCATGTGGTCTTGGTTTGGTTCCAATTAACGTTAGGAACTTTTTTCGTCTCCTGGCCTCCACAAAGGTAGAATTGCCTCCGAATGGCATTTCCTGTAATTGGCCCTGATGGTCACCCAACCCTGTGGGCTGAGATCGACACCCTGAGTGCTGCTGGTTTCAGTGAAATTGAACAGCTTGAACGGAGACTGCAAACCAGCCGAAAAGAGAACGCTCGGACAGCAGAGGTGGGGCCCAGATGGAGTCAAATGGGCGTATCACTGTGTTCTGGATCAGAAGCAAGTCCAAAGAGCCCTGGTGTCCTGAACCACAAACCATTGCCCACAGCTCTGGGAGAGGGATGGGACTGAGATGCTGAATATACTGCTACCCCTGCCCACCGTGCACTCCTCACCACCTCTGGATTCCCACATCTGGGGCAGTCAATAGTACTTGGCCATCATCCAGGGCCTCCGTGAGCCCTACGGTTGACTTCTTGGTGCTTGACTTCTGCAGAGAATGGGATGTGTCAAGAATGGAACATGCAAAGCTGACAGAATAGCTGGGAGAAGTTCTCAGTAAGTGGAGCCCTGTCTGATCTCCGCAGTGAGTCAACCACAGCCCAAGAATTGGGGCTGCTGACAGCACCTGGCCCCTCCATCAATGGCCAAAGCCTGGGAGCCTCATGGCCATAGCGACTCTATAACGGAGGACCAGGAGACCTGTGAGGAAGAAGACATGAATGGCTATGAGCAGCCCCTGTGCTTCTTTTGTGTGAACCCACGGGTCGTGAGGTGAAGGAGGAGAGGGCTGGTGTGGAAGTGGGGATGACAGCACAGACAAATCCCAGAATCCTCCACGGGCAAGGAAGATGTCTAACCAAAGTCAGTGCCAGGAGATCCCAGGGTATTCGGACTGTCTGCCCAGGGTGCCGAGGAGAGAGGTGGGAGAAGGGAGGCAAGGCAGCTTGGAGCTGAGAGTGGAGTGGGGACCCACGTACCATGACCCAGAGGAAAGGAGCTTTCGCGGGTGGCAGGTAACGCAGGCGCGCTTGAGTAGAGGTCCTTGGAGTCTGGCTAGTGACTGGGAGGAGGGTACTGGGGAGGGGGTGACACCAGTGTGTAAGCTATGAGGATAAACCAACCAGGAAATGGGGCAGCAGAGAGAGAAGGTACGAGATAGAATGGTCACAGGCCCTGTCTTTCCCCTCCGGTGACACCTTCATTCCCTGGGGGCGGGTCCACCACAGAGACAGCCCACCAAGGAGCCGGCCCACTTTTGAGGCAGCCTGCCACAGAGGCAGTTTGCCACAGCCCCTACCGGTGCTTCCATCCTTAGTTTTCTCCTGCTCAGTCAACAAAAGTTCAGAGGATCTGGGGCAGGACCGCTCTACTCACCTTGAAGTCTTCCCTTCAAGGTCACCTGAGGCTGCCAAAGGGAGGCCACTATTCCTGTCACAGTGGCCGCTGGTACAGGACTTTTCTTCCGAATGTTTCTGACCCCTATTCCTTTGTCACCCCTGATCTAGGAATAGCCACCACTCTGGGGCTGCTGTCCTGCCCGCTTCTTTCCCCTGGTGTTCCCTTATACCCCACTTACACACTGTTCTCATGATGAACAGCCACAGGAGTTCTTCAGACTTCTGCTGCCACAGGGACCCTGCCTGAGACAGGAACTAGTCTTTAGAAGGCCTAGGTCCTCATGGATGCTGACTGTTTCTAGAAGTGTGAGCCAGACACCAGAAAACTGAAGTCAGTCTCCTGTTCTCACAAAGTCAACCCACATCTGAGGGTCTCTGCAAATGCACAGAGTCCCTGGAGGGGGTCGGTAATCCTCTGGGGAAGTATCCCGGATGCTCAGGATAAGGTGTGGGCCGTAAAGCAGTGAACGATGTAGTTATTATGTAAGAGATGAAGTTCCTTTCATTAACAGACACACAGCATGGTCACTCAGGTAGGGTATGTAGAGAGTGAGGGACTCGCCATGTTTTGGGATATGACAGAGTTATAGGCCGCAGAGACCCTTGCATCCGGGTGCTCTTTGCTCTAACTCCCAGGTGTGTCCTTACTCTGTCCCCATTCACGCATTCATCCAAAATTTCCTGGTCCCTGTCTTGTGTGCAGGTTATGCCGGAGAGAAAGCCCACACCCAGCACCCACTGGGAGCTCTTCGCTGCCACGGATCCAGACATCCTCGTCACCCTACAACTTTGCAATGTTTCAAAGCGAAACCAACCTGTCTTTGCCTCGCGTCTTAAACACAGTATCCGATGTGTAGGCATAGGTAAAAGCATCGCCGCCGGCGGCCCGGAATTCCATTGCCCGGCATAAAAGCATTCATCTGCTTGCCTTTTGGATTGGATTTCCAAACGGGTCAAACATTTACAGAAATGGCCCAAACTGTACAAATAAACCTCATGTCTCATGAGGAAGGCAGTTTACATTACTCCAGGTCAGATGAACACACAGCCACAGCCCTGACTTTGAAAACCACTTCACCCAGTATACGTGTGAGTTCTGGGCACCGCCTGGAATCCGTCAGTTCCTTCAAAGGGCCTGGGGACAGGCATGGCGACCCTATAAACCCATGCATGGTTTCCACTCCAGCTGGGTGGCTCTTGACCCCAGCAAGCCAAACAAACGGGGTGTGACCAGGTCTGCCTCGTGCTGTGGACCTTTGCTGGGTCCACCGTTCTGCCCCAGAGTCCACCTGTCCCTCTACCCTTGCATGGCGCAAGAGCTGGGTTGCTGTCTTGTTCTGGAAACCCCACAAATGGGACGTGGCGCTTTGCAGAAAGCCGATCTATGTCTGCTAGCTCATGCAGCTCCATTTTGTAAGTGAGGTGTTGGACTGGCTGTGATTTGTGGGGGCAGAAGTGACTGTCCCTGGCTCTCAGGACAGTATTGCTCCATCGTTAAGCTCTTGTTGCTCAGCTCACGTCTGACTTGTCTGTGTGAATATTATTACTTCATTTTCTCATAGCTGTGACTCCATATCTGGCAAAGCAGGTGAAGGGAGGCAGTTTTGGCTCACAGTTTGGAGGACTACAGTCCATCATGGTTGGGATGGCATGGCAGCAGTAGCCTTGTGGTGCTGATGGGTGTAACAGAAAGCAGAATGGACAAGAAGCCCGTTCCCAATGACATATTTCCTCCAGCAAGGCAGCAGCTACCTAAAGATTCTACAACCTTCCAAAATAGTGCGCTAGCTGGGGAGCCAAGTGTGCAAACACAGAAACCTGTGGGGATATATTTCACACTCAAGCCATAACAGAGTGTGAATTATAGTAGACCCCGACTCAGTGGGATGGCATCTCTAGAGAGATGAGCGAGATGCAGAGGGACAGGGTAAGGTGGAGGAGATAGGCTGTGGGAAGACAGGGGTAGAGATATCAGGGACTTGGCTTGTGGGTGTGGCCACAAGCAAAGGTGGAGCCACAAGGAACTAACGTGGCGGGGGGGGGGGGGGTTAGGTTCCCTTGGAGAGCCCAGAAAGAGAGACTCCCTGCTTTGAAACTCTTAACTTCCAAAACATGTGCACCTAGAACTCTGCCTTGTGAGCCACACACAATTGGTGGCCGTGAGTAGTCAGCCCCAGGGGTTGACCTCTCTCCTCCACTCTGTCTGGGTCACTAGCGTCAGGCTTGGTACCCTTCTACTCAGTGCCAGCTGCCCCCTGCCTGGTTCTGCAGGGAAGGGGTGCTAGATTGGGGCTGGTGCAAATTGAAAGTCAGAAGTACCTGCTGTTCTCACTCCAGTCTGTCTGTGTGGCAGCATCCACGGTCCTTCTCCCACAGGGGCGCTGGTTCCTCTTTCAGGGTGCTTTCCTCGTGTTCACCTCTCTGCCCGCCACCTCTAAGACGGCAGCACCAGCTCAGCCTGGTTCCCTTGGGGCTCTGGGTTCCTCTCAGTGTGCCCTGGGGGAGCTAGATACGTCCCCCCTAACCTCCCATGGAGATCCAGGATCTCTTGCCTTGTCAGTCTCTCAACATCCTATTTTAAGGATCACACATAATAAGTGCTCTGTTACAACAGTTGGTGTGTTGGGGTGAGTGTGTTTGGAAAACGTAGGTGCTTTGGAGGACAATGGTGTCTTGATGGTTAAAGGAGACATGCATTTTTTAAAAAATGTATTTATTTTATTTTGTGTGCTTAAATATTTTGCCAGCGTATATACGCTGTGTGCATGCCTGATGCCCAGGGGGTAAGAAGATGACATATATCTGATCCCCTGGAACTGGAGCCTCAGATGGTTGTGAACCACCATGTGGGTGCTGAGAATTGCGCCTGAGTCCTCTGCAAGAGCAACAAGTGTTATTAACCACTGAATCTTCTGTCTAGCCTTAAGGTGGTAAATCTTATACCATGCGAGTATTACTCCACACACGTACACCATATTTACACACATGCACATGTGTTCACACACACACACACACATAATAGTTTTTTGGCTGCTGTTTTCCTGTGATAACACACATTATCTAAGCGATGTCCAGGCTGAAAAGATGGCACCGTGGTTGAGAGAACTTGCTGTTTTTGCAGAGAACCTGGGTTTGGTTCCTACCACTATATGGAGGCTCCCAAGTGTAACTCTGCACTTAGAGATCTGACAACCTCTTCTGGGTTCTGTGGGCTCCGGCACTCACATGCAGACACACATATGTACATACATACTATTAATCCTTAAATGTTTTTAATGACACACACTCTTCATCTTCTGAATTATAATAATATAAATATTAGACATTCCATAGGTGCTTGAAATTATGGGGGATTTTTTTCCTGACCCCCCCCCCCCGTCATTCAATTTGGGTCATTTTTTTTAAGAATTTCTTTGTTTATTTACTTTGAGACAAGGTCTCACTAATTAGCCCATGATCACTTTCAGTACTAAATTCTCCTGCCTCAACTTCCTAAGTGCTGGGACGACTGGGCAGGTGTCGCCATGCACAGTGCAAATGGGGCCGTTTCTATTGCTCTGACTGGAACTCACTTGTTCTTCCATCTCAGTCACTCTCCTGCTTCAGCATAAAGCCTCCCAGGTGGGCCGCAGTGACGTTCAAGTCCTCCATTTTCTCTCAGATAGTTCTGAGATCTTCCTTGTTGAAAGTCGCTCTGTTCAGAATACTTCAGTGGCTGCTGTTTCTAGCTCAGGGGGATCATTCCCGACCATCTCACTGTTGGCTGTGCTTGTTCAAGATTCAGTGATGAGGGTGGTGGGTGAATTCGGTTTAGATTCTCAACGTTGCCAGGCTCTGGATCTTCCATAACCTGGCTTTTTAAAGGGGAGCAAGCCCCCTGATAAGATGGGCCCTGAAGGTCTAAGGTAGCATCTGGGTAGACGTAGGATGGAGAAACTGTAGATCTATGGTAGAGGGTGTGGACCAGTGCTGGGTGTGGCAGGGGAGAAGGTGTGGACTGCTAGGGTGGAGAGTGTAAACTTGAGTAGAGGGTATAAGTGTAAAGTATCGGGTGTAGACTTAGGGTAGGTGGTGTAGACTTGGGTATGAGCGTTAGATCTAGGGTATGAGGTGTAAGGTGTTTGGCTATAGTGAAGGAGGTGTAGACCTAGAATAAGGGGTGTGGGGTTAGGCTAGAGAGATTAGACACAGAGAAGACCTGTGATGGTGTGTAGAGCTAGGGATTAGATTTGGAGCAGAGGGTATTGACTTTTTGTGGGAGGGAGATATAGACATATAGGGTAGAGGGGATAGACATAAGGTATGGAATATAAACAAGGGTGGGGTATAGATCTAGGGTAGGGGGTATATATTTTATTGGAAATATAGATCTAGGGTAGCTATTTTAGCCCTAGGGTAAAGGGGTTTAGACATAGAGTAGGGGTACAGACATAGAGTAGGGGTACAGACATAGAGTAGGGGTGCAGACATAAAGTAGGGGTGCAGACATAAAGTAGAGGATGTTGACTTAGGTGTGCAAGGTATAGACCTAGGGTAGGTATTGTGGATCTAACTTAGAGAGTGTAGACTTTGGGTAGAGGTTGGACACATTGAGTAGAAGTCGTGGGATTCCTGCCGAGGAAAGCAGCTAACGGGGAGTGTAACCAGCTCAAGAGAAGTAAGTGTGTTGCAGCCAACAAAGCGGAACAGAGTTGGAGATCTGAAGAGCGTTTCGACGTTGGACATGAAGGTGCAGAATTTGGAGTTTTCACATCTGGTTTTTGGCCTCTTTTGGTCCACTTTTTCTCACTATGCTCCCTTCCATGTGTTTTGGAATGGTAATATATACCCTGTCACTATATGTTGGAAGAGTATGATCTGCTTTTTGATTTTTATTTTTATAGGTGATACAATTAAGATAGTGCATGGATCTCAGAAGAGACTTTGAGCTTTCAAACACTGTTGAGACTGTGACAGACTAGGGAGACTTTTGAAACTGGACTAAATGAATTTTGCACTATGATATCGTTACAAGCTTATGGGGGTCAGGGAGTGAAATGTGGTAGTTTGAATGTAATCGGGCCCCCATAATCTCATAGGGAGTGGCACTATTAGGAGTGTGGCTTTGTTGGAGTGTGTTTGGCCATGTTGGAGGAAGTGTGTCACTATGGGGATGGGATATGAGGCTCTCTATGTTCAGGATACTGCCCAGTGTGTCAGGTAACTTCCTGTGATCTGCAGGATGTAGGGCTCTCAGTAATTCCTCCAACACCATCCCTGCCTGAATACTGTCATGCTCCTCACTACAGTAATAATGAACTGAACCTTTGAAACCATTAGCAAGGCACCTCAATTAAATATTTTCCTCCTAAGAGTTGGGGTCATGGTGTCTTTTCACAGCAAGAAGAGCCCTAAGACAGGCATGGACCCCTCGGGTAGAGTGTGTAGGCCCCAGGTATGATGTGTAGACCTAGTACAGAGGTGTGAAACTAGGGCTGGGATAGACCTTGGGAAGGGGGTGTTAATCCTGTGGCATGGGGGTTTCAACCTAGGGTATAGAGTCTAGACCTAGAATAGAAAGTGTAGACAGGGGTAGGTAGTATAGACAGAAACTAGACAGTATAGATCTGGGCTAGAGGGTGTGAATGCAGATCTAGGATAGCAGATGCGGACCTAGGGCAGAATGTGTCAAACTAGGAGGGATTTATACATAGGATAGGGTATGTAGACCTATGGAAGAGGAATTGTCCTAGGGTAAGGGTTATAGACCTAAGGCTGGGAGTTTAGACCCATAGTAGGGTGTGTAGACATAGGGTAGATGGTGGAGACCTAGGGTAGGCAGTGCTGACATAAGATAGGGGTTATAGACTCAGGGTAGGAGGTGCAGATCTAGGGTAGAGAATATAGACCTATGGTATAGTGTATGGTATAGGGCAGGGGTTGCCTTA